TTTAAAGGGATGGTGCTCCCGGCGGTCCCTGTGCCTGAGAAAAAGCTCAGCTTTGCTAAGATCATTTCTCAGCTGATGGGAGGGGGGAGGGCGTTTTAACTAGAAGTTTCCTGTAGGGACTTGCAAGGAACAGCCTGAAATAGAGACACCCACAGATACACACAAGTCTTATTTTTGTGGTCATTTTCTATGCTTTATGGATTGTGTATCAGCCAGTGGGACTCAAAGACCCCTACAAAGATCAGGGCTGGATCAGCCAGACTACAAGGCAAAGTGTAGCAACAAATGCAACCTGCAGATGCACACCAAGTTTGTGACCAGTGCACTGGTTAAGCAACTCATTTGGCTACCACCTTTCACCCCCACTGACCTACACACATCCCCCACCCTCTTGGACATTTCCACGCTGGCCTATGTATGATCCCATTGAAATCAATTTCACCTCCCCACTTCCCTGGGGCAGTTCCACTGCTGTTCAAGTCAGGCCCATTGGGCAGTTTTCATTTACAGTTAGTAGGGCTATGGAGCCCTTGGAAATATAATGCAGAAGTCAGTCAATACCACTGCAGGTAGGGGCTGCTGAATTATTTCAGCTGTTCAAAATGCTTGGCCATCATGTATTCAGATCTGCTCTGTTGCAGGAGACAACATAATCTGCTCCCTTCTGGGCAAGGGAAAGGAAGAGAAGTTCCTCAAGTGTCCATTCTTCCTGCCTCCTTCCACCTAAGAGAAGGAGGATTATCTAGCCAGTGGTGGCATAGGGAGAGATTTTCCACGGCCAAAAGAGGCCCCCAAAACTCATTTGTGTTATTGAGAAAATTTCCCTTTTAAATACCACCTGCTAGCCCAACCTGTGCTTTATTACAACCATGCAAGGAAAATCATCACTTCTACTGTCCAAACTGTAGCCACTAGCACATGGGGACAGGTAGGGGCATGATCAATTAGGGTGACAGTTGAATTGAAGAGACCAAAACCACAAAAGCCTACTCGTGAGGGGTTTGCCTGTCCCAAACAAAGCACTTGAACCAACAATTTCCATTTAGGAAAATGATAAGCTATTAGGGAAAATAGCTAGCAATACTGCAAGACCTTAATGCTAGGAAACAAACACATTTTTTTAAAAAAGACCATTGGCAAGGATGTAACAGAAGGCAGGTGTTGGTCTTCAGTTTCCCCAGATGCCCAATTATCCAAATAAATTGCAATAAACTAATTATGCTATCTAAACAGAAAAAAAGGTGGATTTTTGCTTGTAGTTTGCAAAGTGCAATAGAAAGTAACAGGGCACTCTCTCTAAGGTGCAGGGCAGAAGGGAGGCCAACAATTCTAATATCCTGAATAATAAAGCACAGTACAAAACTTCAGGTGATGCCTCTCTGAGGAAAGAGGAAAAGATCATTGTCATCTAAGCAGCTGGGAAGTTTAGCCTCAAGGAGCAAGTTCTTTCTTTTTTATGAGTGGCCACAGGATTAATACATTATCTTAAATTACTTTGTTTACAAAAATGTACCATTGCTGCAGAATTTTGTTTTGAACAGCTGGCAACCCATACTCAACTCCAACTCCTTTCTGTCCAGTTCTTTTCTGTTTGCAATCACCTTTCTTAGCCTCTCCCCCTGCAAAAAAAGGTGTCTGGTTACCTTTCTGCCCTGGAGCGCATATTTTCTTGTCTCTGACCATTGCGCCTTACAGGTTATGCAGCTGTGGAAGTGTGTCTCAGACTGCCACATAAAACAAATAGTAAGCACTTGAAGAAAAGTGTTTTCATCAGCAATGCGCTGGAAAGCAACCCTCCAGGTCAAAGACAATCTCTGTCAAATGTCGTCTAAGCCAATTTATTTACCAGTGAGGAGCCTCAGCAATGGTTTTAACTATTTGTTAGAAATGCACTTCCAATCTTGTTTAGAAGTTATTTCATTACATTAATTCAATATTTTGTCATTTATTGTATGTAACCATATTATTAACTGTATGGGAGAATAATTAAGAGATGCTTACATCCTAAAGGGATCGGCATCTTGGCCATTAGAAAGGTGGTTGAAATATCTAATATATTCCACTTGTCAAGCTTTTCATCCCTAATAAAGGAACGTTACCAGATGAAAGAGGAAAAGGAAGGGAAGTTTTTCGCATGTACTATTGAGATAGCTGTATCTCAGATTTGCAAAATTGTGCATAGGAAAATATTATATGGTGTGTCTAGACTACAGGGTTTTTTTCGAAAAAAGTGGCCTTTTTTAGAAAAAAACTTCCCCTGCGTCTAGACTGCTGCTGTGTTCTTTCGAAAGTAAATTGAAAGAATGTGGCAGTTTTTTCAATGGTGGAAAACCTTGTTTTACAAGGAATAACACCTTTTTTCGAATGTGCTCTTTCAAAAAAAGGCGCTATGTTAAGCAAACTGTGCTTTTTCAAAAGAGAGCATCCAGATTTCCTGGGTGCTCTATTTTGAAAAAGTGGCTTGCTTTTTCGAAAGTACTGGTTGTAATCTAGACACTCTTTTCGAAAGAGGCTTACAGTCTAGATGTAGCCTGACTGAGAAAGTGAACTTGAACAGCTTGGGTATGTCTAGATTACAGGTTTTTGTCGACAGAGGCCATGTCGACAGATACTGTCGACAAAGCCTCTGTCAACAAAGAGCATCTAGACTACAGCCAGTTCTGTCGACAAAGCAAGCCGCTTTTTCCATAGAGTCTAGACAGTGTGAATGCAATAGCGCCTTTGGTCAACAGAACTCTGTCGACAAGAGGCCATAGAATGAGGTTTACCGACGTCGACAAAACTGCTGCGTTCTGTCGACTTACCGTCGACAGAACTCGGCGGTAGTGTAGACGCAGGTATAGTTTTGTCGGCAAAAGTCCACTTTTGTTGACAAAATCCTGTAGTCTAGACACACCCTTTGGCTAAAACAAAACAGCATTGAAAGCAGATAATTAACACAGAAGGTATTTCCCCTCCCAGTTCCCCTAGCTCTAAGTAGCATTGCCTGTGATCCCTGGTGGAGGGTTAACGACAGCACTACCTGCAGAGTGCTGCAGAGTGAGGAACAGCAGCCAGTTCTCTGCTCTGGCTTAGCTTCCTCCAGCTCACGCAGGACTTAGAAAAGCAGCTGCCCTGCCTGCCTGCTCATGAAATCTGATCTCAGACTACCACCCCCAACTCCAGAAGTCTGGGTGGAGTGCTGAGTCTGCCCAGCAACAGTAACACTCAACTCACGCCTACCTCCCCCACAGGGTCTCTGAAAGAGATAGCTCCCTATTAAGTGCATGGGTTACACGCACGCCCACGCCCACGCCCACGCATGGACTCAGACACACACTTCGGCATCAGATGCTGTTTGACCAACCCCCGCCCCCCCTCTCCCTCGTGCTTGCTCTAAGGTGAAGCTTTTCTAATGGGCTGGGTTTGGATTTTACAGTGGGCTAGTGCTGCGGTGACCCTATTTCCCTAAACTGAAAGTGGGACACTGGGAATGGATATAGAGCCTTCTGCACCAGGCCTTCCCCCTCCTTTCTGCCCCCATTCTCTCTCTTCATCCCTCCCACCACCCCGGACATCAGATCCTGTGTAACCAGCTCCGCACACGTACACATACACAGCTCTGGGCATCGGGTCTGTTTCACCAGTAACCCCTCCCCTTGCTGCACACAGACACACACACACACACATAGCCCCGGACAACGGATCCTGTTTAAAGGACACTCCCTTCCCCCTCCTCCTCGCCGTTGCACAGTCGCCTGCGTGCAAGAGAGTGCCTCGGTTGCAGCAGGGCAGGCCGGGCACCCAGGCCCCCCGGAGCTGGGAGCTCGCCTGGGAAGGGGAATCTCCCTCGGGCTCGCTTCCAGTACCAGATGCTGCCCCTCTGCTTTTTAAATGTGTTAAGAGCCTGCCAGCCCTTAATACATTTAAAAAGCAGAGGTGCAGCAGGGGGATCTGGTGTGAGCCAGAACAGCTGATTCCCAGCTCACGCCAGGTTCCCCCCACTGCGCTCCAGCCTTTGAAATGTACTAAAAGCCAGCAGGCTCTTCATACATTCAAAAGGCAGAGCCGCAGCGGGGTTAGCTCTTGTGGCCGGGAGCTAATTCCGCTGCGGCTCCCCCACTTATTGACGAATCGACTAGTCAATGGAAAATCCATCGACTAGTCAATTAGTTGATTGAACAAAATTTAACATCCTTACCTCTGTGGTGAGCGTGCTCCGTGAGGTGCCTGGCTCACACCAGCCCGTGTCAGTGTGAGTGCCGGACGTCCCCGATCCCCACTCACAGCCCCCGGACGGGCGTTCTCCTTGCTCCCAGGCTGCTCCAGGAGCTGTTCCCGAAAGCCACCGAGCTGTACGAGAGGGTGGCCAGCAACCGGGAGCAGTGGACCAAAGTGTCTCATAAATTCACCATCAGGGGCCTCCCCAGCAACAACTCGCTGGACTTCCTGGACGAGGAGTACGACCTGCAGGGCATAGGCCCGGGGAGCGCCAAGATGAACGGCTGCCTGGACATGGAGGGGCACAGTATCTGGAGGGCAGGGAGGGGGAGTGGTGGAGAGACAAGCCCGGGCAACCTTTGGCCTCGTTCCTCCTGGATCCAATGGAAAGGGGAAGCCGGCTTTGAGAAATCCGGCCTCCAGTGTGTTCTCTGCAGTCCCGGCATCTCGCGCCCAGGCCCGGCTGAGCCCCGCGGGTGGAACGGCCGCTCTCTGTGACACCGGGGTCGCTATTCCGGACTCTCCCCCCAGCCCTCCTCTTTCAGATGCTGGGGGATTATTCCTCGGACTCCTTTCGCTGTACATTGAAATGAACCCGCTTCCCCCATCCCCTTCTACGTGGGCTCCGTAGCTTCAATTTGCTGCCCGGGCTCGGTATCCAGTCTAGGGACGGCCGGCCGCTAGCCAGGTCGGGGGAGAGCAGGATGCTGCCCTTCCCCCAAGCATGGTGCCTCTCTTCCCAGGCCAGCTTCCCGTGCTGGATGCACCCAAGGCCAGTTCCCTCCCATGCATGCATATCCCTCGGGCCAGTCAGGTGGACGCATTTAGCCCTGGCTGCTTGCGGGGGGGAGGAGGGGTTTTCCCACGGGCTGATCTGCGAAGACTGGCTATTGAATCGAGGAGGCCGGTGGCCGGGGAGACAGGAGAGGCTGCATCACATCTCGCTACCCAGCCAGCGAGTGGAGGGGGCCAGTCGCCGACTGGAAATAATCCCTAGGGATAGAGAGATGGGACAGCAGGTGTGAGTTGGCCCCGTCCGCATCCCTGCAGGTGCTGTGCCTGGAGGCCCTGCAGAGCAGTAGGGCTGGTAGGGGTCTGGCTGGCAGCACTAGTAGGGCTCCGAACGGGCACGCAGGCATGACTGGTCCCATCCTCCCAAACTCTGGCTCACTCCTGCTCTCCTCCCTGCGCTCGCATCCAGGGCCAGACGCCGCCTCCTGGAGATGAGGTCCTGCCTGAGGTCCACAGGCACATGGCCACCAACATTAGCGCCGGGCACTGCGCTGCCCGTGTGCTGCTCTGGATCCAGCCCATGGGAACGGCAGCTCCCAGCCAGCCATGCATCTTAGCCCACGTGGAGCTTGACATGCTGGGACTCCTCATGGGCCGGTCCCTAGTAAGGATGAAGGCAGGTGTGGGCCACCAATGTTCCCTCTCATTTTTTCCACCCAGGTGTGGAATACATTTTGTGTTGTGCACCGAGGCATGTGCAGATGTGCACCACCAGTAGGAACCCATGCTGCTGGCTGTGGGCAGCTGTGCTGGGCGGCACCTGAATTTCTCCTGGGCAGCCGCCCAAGCGCTCAGCTTACAGGGATCAGTAGCCACCAGGTCATTTGGTTAGCCCCAGGAGCATTTTCCCCAGTGGCCACCTCTTGGCCCATTTCTGACTTTGTCATAGGAACCTCGTCTTCTGAGATGTGCCCTGCGAATACCCAGCCGCACTCAGGTGCCCTGAGCCTGCAGCAGACCATGCAGACTGGCCCTGGCTGTCCCTGAACGGGATGCCGCTTCCAGCGGGCAGAGACAGCGCAGGTCCTGAAATCCTTCCCCAGACGCACAGGCTGCTGCACCTTGTCCAGCCGGGCCAGCTCAGAGATGAGCTGGATGCCTAGATTGGACATAGGCCGTGTGCCACATGAGCCATTGGCAATGCCCTGGGGCCAGCGTTTCCTGGAGGGGTTTTGCTCCTCCTTCGGGCCTTGTACTAACACGCTCGCCTATCCCTTGTCCGCTGCACCCGCGGTGCCCGGGGTGTGGGGCCGACGGGTCGAACTGACGTGGGAGATGGTGGAGACGCGTGGAGCGGGCAATGCACCAGCCAGGGAGCATCCAGCGGGCTAGCGCCAGACCAGGTGTCGCACACACAGATGCTGACTTGGTGTTTTCCCCATTAACTGCCTTCAGTTTGGGTTGAATCCACCTTGCCCTCAAGGCTTAGGGCCCGGGTATGGCAGCGCCATGGCAGAGCCTTGGGCTGACTGTCAGGAAGGAAACGTTCCCCTCCAGGCCAGTGCTGGGTGCCGTGGCCAGTGTGTCCTGGCTTCCTGAGCGCTCTCAGGGACAAATCGTCCTCTGGTGCAAACTGGCACCGCTGGGGTGGAGCTGCTCTGTTTTACGCCAGGGGAGCATTTAGCCCCGAGCCTTGTCCAGGTTTCACCTCGGCGTTCCCGCCCTCTTCTCGCCTGGCCCCACATTTGGCTGCTCTCAGCGGAGCCGCCTCGGAGGCGTCCCACAAAGCCTTCACGCTGACGCCCCTGGAGCGTGCCGTGGGCTCGGCCCGGTGCTGGGTGAGCTCTGAGCCACGGGAAGGGCCGTGCTTTCAGGTGGATGGAACACAGCATCAGAGCCAAGGAGTGGGAGCCAGGTACTGCAACCCCCCCACTTAGAGCCCCCAGGATCAGGCAGCCAGCGTCACAAGAGGGTGGATCTCCCAGCCTTTGGGGAACCAGATGGTGGTTATTAGAGACAGATCCGAGACCTGTCTCCTGCCCTGCCTGGTTCCGCGCTCTCACTAACGAGCACAAGGGGGGCTGAAGCACTTGCAGGTTTCATTGGCTGCTGATCAGAGGACAGGCCTTTGGCTGATCAGAGGAGTGTGCACAGGCCTTTAAATCCTTCCCTATCTCACACTCCCTTGCCAGTCACAGCAGTCACTAGGGCAAACAGCCCCAGGGACTGCTCGCCTGGACAGCCCGGCCTGGAGTCCTGGCTCCACTGAAATCGGTGGGATTGTGCCGTTGACATCAGTAGGGCCCAGGTTTCTCCCCAGCGGTCCCCGCCGGGATATTGCCAGCTGCTCCTTTCTTCTGCATGCTCCACCTGGCTCTTTCTCACAAGGGGCCTCTGCATGGAATCAGGGACTTGGGGCTCTGAGGCCGTGTGCTCCTGGGTCTCCCAGCTGAAGTCATAAATAGCTCTGTGCCGCGGTGGCACAATCGCCGCCACTATTGGTGCAGTAGGGCCATGAGCCGAGGGCGAGGAACTGAGACGAGAGGCAGGAGCAGAAGGTCGCTGGCATCCCCGGTGGAAGACGGTGTCTCGCCTCTGGAGAGAGCTGGACTCGGCGAACTGATAGGACTTTCTCTCTCTGACCCCTGTACTAGAGGTGGCCCCAGGCTGAACGCCCTCCACTGAATAGCTCCAACCATTAGGAAAGTTCAGAGCTGGCTCTGGGCTTATGAGTTTTCCACAGCACCGTGAGGCAGACCCAAAGCCTAGATCCGAGATCTCCCTCAGCTCTGCCCCTTGCCGGCCTAGGCCCCTGCAGGCTAACTGCTGCCCTTCTGTGCCTGTGCTCCGCAGTCCCTCCAGATAAACAGAGGGAAGGGACGAACTCCAGGATCTAGAGGCAGAAGCGTCTCCAAAGAGAACGTGGCCAGTTGGTGTCGGTTTTGTAGCAAGTCCAGAGAGCCAGGCTCTTCCCCCTGGCAGTGAATGCTGCCGAGCACGGACGTAGGCGGGAGGGGTCCCCAACATGGCAAACTGCATTGGTCAAAATGAGCCAACGCTGGCTGTGCCTAGGGAGTGAAATTCACCCTGTTTGGAGCACTGCCCTGAGTCCCAGAGAACGCCCATTTGGAAGGCAGAAGCAGGCCACAGGCCTGAGAGAGCCAGGCTCTTCCCCCTGGCAGTGAATGCTGCCGAGCACGGACGTAGGCGGGAGGGGTCCCCAACATGGCAAACTGCATTGGTCAAAATGAGCCAACGCTGGCTGTGCCTAGGGAGTGAAATTCACCCTGTTTGGAGCACTGCCCTGAGTCCCAGAGAACGCCCATTTGGAAGGCAGAAGCAGGCCACAGGCCTGGCATCTTTGTGCTGCCCAGCTCAGCCACAGCCATCCCAGACCTACGTGGTAGAAGGACTCTCTGCCCACTGGGGTGGGGAAACAGTGGTGGGAGGAATTATATATATATATAAATCTTTGTGGACAGGGGGGTGCCTTGCTATGGCTGAATGCCTAATCCAGCCCCAGACAAGATGCTAAGTGTGTCAAGAGACAGTGGGCACCAAAAGCAAAAGATCAGAAGCCATGGGTACAATGGTCCGGTTTGGGCTTAAAACACGTGGCTGATGATTGGCAGGAGCTGCTGTGTGTGTCTAATCTGAGACAGTTTGAAGCCACAGTGCTGTAAAATGAGGAAAAATCCCTCTAATTTTTTTCCATCCATGTGCAGAATAAATTTTCTGTGCACCGAGGCAAGTGTAGATGTGCACCACAAATAGACACACATCCGGTGGGTGCTCTGCTAATCAGCTGGGCGGCACCTGAATCTCCTCTGGGCGGCCGCCCAAGGGCTTAGCTCACAAGGAACTCTGGACACGGCTGGGAAATGCAGCAGAGGGGGTATCAAGTCCTGGAGAGCGTGCTACTGGTTTCCATCCCACAGCAGCGCTCGGCATGGAGAGAGAGAGGGAGCTGGTGGGTTTTAGGGCAGCAGATTGTGTCCTAAATGAGGAGGCGGTTCTTGGCTTTGCCACTGACTCTCTGTGTGACCTCAGGCAAATCACGTAATCTCGTTCTGTGCCTCAGTTTCCCCCTCCATGACTCCCTTCTCTCACAGGAGCTGCTCTGAGGCTGAGAACCATTATTCAGGCTTTGAGAGCCTTGAATGGAAAGGGCTACCAAAGTGCATCAGTGTCAGCAGCAGCTGGGTTATTTAACTGGGGAGGAAGAGCAGGGTAGTCTGGAGACTGTGAGAGGATGAGCACTGGTGTGTGTCAACGTAGGAACATCATGTCTTCAGTGCACACTGGTGCCGTCCCTACCTCCCCTGGGCAGCAGCCAGCAACCAAACATGGGCTCACACTGCGGGTATGGATTCCTTGTGAATTGGGGCTACATACAAGCAGTTTTCCTCGGGGTTTTCTTTTTTTTTAATTGTATGTTTCTTTGAATAAATGTTGTGTGTGCTGATGTGTATGGGGAAACTCTGATGACAAAAAATGCTAACCGAAAACATGTATTCATTTGCCTTACCTATTCGGAGTTGCCTTTAGAAAGATGCTTTGTATAAAACACTCTGTAGGACCTTGCGTAGTTACTCCCTGTGAATGTTGCCTGATAGCTTTGTATAGGAGTGTATCTCTTTCTTAGAATCCCTCTTAGAACAACTGTAAGTATTTACAGAGGGAAGATAGCAAAGAAATTGAAAAAATTTAAAAAAAAAACCAAAAGGAAAAAAAAAAGCCACCCAACCCTGAAAACAAAGCTTCCT